GTAGATTGCTTGATCGTAAGTGTGTGGGTTTATTTCTAGGCTCTCTGTTGTGTTCCATTGATCCACATGTCTGTTTTTATGCCAATACCATGCTGTTTTGATTACTGTAGCTCTGTAGTATCGTCCAAAGTCTGGGGAGGGTTATTCCTCCAGCTTCGTTCTTCTTCAGTATTGCTTTGGCAGTTCTGGTCTTTTGTGATGCCTTATAAATTTTAGGATTATTTGTTCTAGTTCTGTGAAAAATGTCCTGAGTAATTTGATAGGGATCACATTAAATGTGTAGATTGCTTTGGGTAGTATGGCCATTTTAACAATATTCTTCCAATTCAAGAGCATGAGGTATCTTTCCATTTCTTAAAATCATCTTTAGTTCCCTTAATCAGTGTTTTGTAATTTTTCATGCGTCTTTCACCTCCTTGGTCAGGTTTATTCCTAAGTTTTTTTTTTTTCTGTTGTTACTGTAAAAGGAATTTTTTTTTTTACTCTCCTTTTCTGAGTTTTCATTATTAGTGTAAAGAAATGCAGCTGATTTCTTTATGTTAATCTTGTACCCTGCTACCTTCCCAAATTCTTTTATCAGCTCTAGTAGTTTTTGTGTGGAGCCTTTAGGGTTTTCTATATATAGTATCATGTCATCCAAATGTAGTGATAATTTTACCTCTTCTCTTCCAATTTGGATCCCCTTTATTTCTTTTTCTTGTCTGATTGCTATGGCTAGGACTTCCAATACTATGTTAAAAAGAAGTCATAAGAGTGGGCATCCTTGTCTTGTTCTAGATTTTAGTGGAAAGGCTTTCAACTTTTCACCATTGAGTATTATGTTGGCTGTTGGTTTGTCATAAATAGCTTTTATTATGTTGAGATATGTTCCCTCTATACCCATTTTGCTAAGAGTTCTTCTGTTGATGTGGTGTATCATATTGATTAGCATATGTTGAACCATCCTTGTGTCCCTGGCATGAATCAAACTTTATCATAGTGCACAATGTTTTTTGTGTGTTATTGGAGTCTGTCTGCTAAAATTCTGTTGAGGATTTTTGCATCTATGTTTATCAACAATATTGGTCTGTACTTTCCTTTTTTGGTAGTGTCTTTGTCTGGTTTTGAAAAGAATGTATATTCTGTTTTGAGGAGATGTCCTAAAAATATCAACTAAGTCCAACTATTCTATTGTGTCATTTAGTATCTCCATTGCTTTATTGATTTTCTGTCCAGCAGATCTGTCAAATGATGTTAGGTGTGTGTTAAAATCTCCTACTATTATTGTATTTCTGTTAATTTCTCCCTTTATGTCTGTTTGTATTTGTTTTATATATTTAGGTACTTCTATACTGGGTGCATATATGTTAATGAGCATAGTATACTCTTCTTGTATTGTTCCTTTTATCATATAGAGTGTCCTTCTTTGTCTTTCTTTGTCCTTTGTTTTAAGGTATATTTTGTCTAATATGAGTATTGCTACCTACCCCTGCTTTCTTGTTATTTCCATTTGCATGAAATATCTTTTTCCATCTTCTCACTTTCCATCTATGTGTGTCCTTCACCCTAAAGTGGGTCTCTTGTAGGCAGCATATTGTAGGCTCTTGTTTTATTATCCAGTCTGCCACGGTATGTCTTTTGATTGGAGCATTTAGTCCATTGACATTTATGGTAATTATTGATAGCTGTCTATATTGCCATTTTAAACTTTGTTTTCCAGTTGATTTTGTGTTTCTTCTTTGTTCTTTTCTTTTTGTTGTTGTTTTTCCTTTTGTGGTGTAATAGTGTTTTTTTGTATTCACTTAATTTCTTTTCTCTTTGGCTTTTGTGACTCTATTGTATGCCTTTAATTTGTGGTTACCCAGTTTTTGAAGTATGTTAACCCACTGCTATATCCTTTTGCTTTAGACCAGTAATCCTACAGGCCCAAACACATCCTAAGAAGAACGGTGGGGGGGGGATGTACATTTCCCTGCTCCCCTCTTTGACATTTTATGCTTTTGATGTCTTCTTTTACATCTTCATGTTTATTCTCTTGCTGTTCATTATAGATACTGCATTTCCAGTTGTGGTGTCCTCTTTTTATAGATTCCTGCTTCTTTTTAATTTAGAGAATATCTTTCAATATTTCTTTCAGGATGAATTTAGTTTTGTTGTATTCTTTTAGGTTTTGCTTGTCTGAGAAATTCTTTCTCTCTCCTATTCTGAAAGATAGTCTTGCTTGGTAGAGTATCCTACTGTGCAGGTTTTTCTTTCAGGACTTTGAATGTATCTTACCACTCCCTTCTGGCCAGCAGTGTTTCTGTAGAGCAATCAGGTGATAGCCTTATGTGGGTTCCCTTGTAACTAACTTTGTTTTTCTCTTCCTGCCTTCAGAATCTTTTCTTTAATTTTGGCCATATTAATTATAATGTGTCTTGGTGTAGGTCTGTTTGGGTTCATCTTGTTTGGGACCCTCTGTGCTTCCTGTACTTTGATACCTGTTTCCTTCTGTAGTTTTGGGAAGGTTTCAGTTGTGATTTCTTCAAATTCCTTTTTGATCCCCTTTTCTCTTTCCTCTCCTTCTGGAACCCCTATTATGCATAAGTTGACACACTTTATATTATCTCATAAGTCTCTTATGTTGCTTTCATTTGTGTTTATTTGTTTTTCTGTCGGTTCTTCTGATTGGGTGATTTCCATTATCCTACCTTCTAAATCACTTACTCATTCTTCTGCATTATTTAGTTAACTCCTGACTGCCTTTAGCTCAGATTTTATCTCAGCAGTTGTGTTATCTAATTTTAATTGGCTCCTCTTAATAGTTTTTAATTCATTTTTATAGTATTCTGCATTTCTATTGATAGCCTCTCATTTCCTTCAGTGCTTTTATTATCTTCTTTTTGAGCTCAGGATCTACTAAGCTGTCGAGGTCTGTTTCTTTGTTCTTTCAGGAGACTTTTCTTGTTCTTTTGATTGGGAGTAGTTCCTCTGCTTTTACTTTATTTCTCTGACTCTATGAATTTAGGAGTAACAGTTATCTACTTTGGTCTTGAAGGTCTTTTTGTTTTAAAGTGGGAGTGTCCCTGTGTAGACTGTGTGTCTATTATTTTGTCATGAGGGCTGTTTTTAGTATGGATGATTGCCACGCGTCTTCTCAGTGTGTGCTGGCTGTTACCCCCTGATTAGGGATGTGGTTGATATTGTGGTGACCATAGCCTGCCCTGGTTTAAGCAAGGCCTCCTCTTTGCTTTGTGGTTGTCACAGCCCTGACAGGGGCCGGGACTGCTTCCCTGTTGTTGGAATAGAGGCTCCCAGACCCGTTTCTGAGCTGTCATGTGATAGGCAGGACTCGAACACTTCTGCTGGATGAGCAGTTGCTGAGTATACCTCCGCAACAGAGGTCCACCTGACAGTGCTCTCGTTGTCCAGGTTTAGAAAGTATACTTTGTTGACACTCCCCTTGTCCCTCTCTTAGCCACGGGAATGTTGGCAACTGCCCTGGCATCCCTGAGGTTCTGCACCTACAGTGTGTGTGCAGTCACGCACTCAGTCCACCACGAGCCTGGGATCAGACCAGACCCCATCCTCATGTCCGTGTATGCAGGCCCACTGTTAACACAGACTTGCTCCCGCCACGCACCAGAACTCTGATTGTCTCAGAGGCATCGATCCACAAAGGCATCAGCAGAACAAATCCACTACCATTGCTTGGGGCTTGACTCAAATCTCAGTCCTGCCTGCAGAGTCTTGAGACCCCTGGTAATGGATTCATGTTCTAGCCCTGCCTCAGTTTGGGAGCTGCACGCCAGCCACTGTGCCCCTCCAGGGCAAAATGAGAAGACAGCTGCATCTGGAGCCCTTCCTTCCACTTGTGAGAGCGTGGCGCCTACAGCGGTGCCCAGCAGCACCCTCTGGGCTAGTGGAGATGGCGGCTGTGGCCGGGCTGTGTTGTGCCCCTCTCTCCATGCACACCAGCAGTGGTGCTCTCTGTTGGGGGACCCAGGCTGTTCTGTTGTGCACACCCAGCCTCAGCCCACACCACACTCAGCCCCAGTCCTCTCCCTGGGTTCACCCACATAAGGCTGAACTCCAGTACCCAGTCCCGGACCAACCCCACAGGCTTGCGTCTCAGGCTGGGGATTGCCTGAGCCCTCTGTGCTGGTTTTTCTCTGTTATGTCTGCCAGGCGCTTGCTGTTTTCTCCTCCAAGCCTCTGGAGACCCCTTTCTTTCTCAGCTGAACTCCCTGCTGGAGAGGGGGCTTCCTAGGGTGAGGATACTTTTCTTCCTCTGCTGCTCCCTCCCACGGGGACAGATCCTGCCCTGATTTAATTTTTCTTTTTTCTTTTTTCTTTTCTCCTACCCAGTTTTGTGAGGATTTTCCTTGTAGTTCCAATAGTAAGAAAGTTCAGCAGCTATTTTGTGCGAATTGTTCCATATGTAGATATAGTTTTCGTTGTATTCATGGGAGGTGAACACAGTGTTGTTCTACTCCGCCTTCTTGGCAATCTGCCACATTGAATTTAGAGAAGCATTTTCCAAGCATGCTGGACTCCCTGTGTAGAATCACACAACATCCTTGATAAAATGGACTAAGTATGTCAAGTAAAGAAGAATTGACAAGTAATTGGAGTTTCATTCGAACAATTAGAAAATAAATTACCCAAATAGGGCCTCTACTGCAGATGAACTTTTTTTTTTTGGTCAATTTATTACAAAAATACACTTTTAAAATCTTAGGATCAAGTTAGATTGTTCAGGATAGGTCAGAAATGTCACTGATTTATTTTGATAATGTTTGCTATAAAATTATTACTATATAATTTATTTATGAAATAAATATCTAGTTACATAGTTATGTAATTCCTAAAAGAATTATGGTGAATGCTGTTAGGTATTATAGGTATTTTGGTTTTCGTGTTCCATTTTAAATGGGTTTATATCTTTTGAACTATTAAGGTTTCTAGGTAGATAACAGTTCTGCAAAGTTTCTTGTAAATGTAATTATTTCATTCGACACTTAGAACTCAGCAATGAATTATTAGAATTTCATTATACTTTTTAGTTTATTTGATATGTTTTTATTTGTCAGTCAGTGAGGCAGGAGTCTGGAGGGAGAGCACAGCTTTCTCTGCTCAGCAAAGATGACCCTGAATCTTCTGTGCCCCATCCCGAGCACCAGCCCCCGGAACCTCTACCACCATGAAGGAAAAGGCAGGCAGGGCCCAGGGAAGATGGAGATGACAGTGGGGATATCACTGCTCTATAGCCATGTCTCTGGTGAAGTTAACATTTTCCCTCATGTAGAAGTTGAACTTTTCCGTTACTCTTCCTGTGGGAAGACAGTTAATAAGATTCATTAACACAAGAGGAAATTTTATATAATATTAGAACTGAAAGGAACTATAGAAATTGTGAGGCAGAACCTCATTTTATAGATGAGGAAAATTAGTTCCTGAGAAGGAATGTCCTTGCCACAGGCACTTTCTGACAGAGGCAGAAGCAGAATTTCCCTAGCCCAGTGATACTTCCACCCCACCTGCTGCCTCCACCGATCCCAGAGCCCAGGCTGATCAAGCAGTGTTTCACAACAACAAAGAAGGAGGCCTTCTGACAAGGGAAGCTGAGGTGGCCTGCTCCTCAGCCTTCCCTGGTCAGCAGGGCCTGTGGTGAGGCTGGATCCTGCCTTGGTGAGGATCCAATTTCAACCACATGTCCCTTCAGTGTCCATGAAACAAGCTGGTTTCTAGGCCGAGGGCCCAATGTGTGGACACATTAGAGAATCTTCTCTTTTGTGAAATAAAAGTTCCTGAATTGGAATAAATATGTAAATATATTCTTCTGGGCTCAAGCCGTTAACGTATTTTAACTTGTAAAGATAATTACAAAGGTGAAAAAAAACACAAGATCTGAGATGAGTGGCCAGAATCCAGTGGTCTGTAAGAGAGTTAACAATGAGCAAAGCGAACTTGGTTTAAGACAGTAAATGCTAAATTGCCCATTTTACACCAAGGAAGTGACATCTGCCTGGTTATATTGCCTCCAAAACCCCTGTGCAGGCCAAAAACAAAACTGAAACAAAACATGTCCATGGGATTCTGGTCCAAGTACTGACAGCTTGCATTCCCCAGTTTCAGAGCAAAGAAAAAAAGAAGAAATATCTATAGCCTTAAGAAATTGAGGAGTACAAAGGCCCTCTGGCCATATTTTATCTAAGAATCATCTGAATTATGGCCATTAATTACTCTGGGGACAGTAATTTGAAAGCGCATGATCTTGTTAGACTCAATTGATAGGCAGGAATTAGAGGTTCTGCCGTGGAATGACCAGTCCCAGCTGGCAGAGCAGGTGGCTCAACCCTAGTCTGACAGTGAGGCAGCAAGTTTTCTCTTTCCCAGCTGCTCTGGGACAGCACAGTACAGGTTCTGGAGAGTTAAGCAGGCTCGTGGAAAGAGGATAGGATTACAGTGGAGGACACTGCCCCAGCTTCTTCTCCTTCCCATGAGGTACTCACAAGTTCTCAATACACAAGTGGCATTCATTCCCGTAGGTGATGTAGTCAGACCCACAAACAGGCAGGTATGTGATGGGGCAGGGGATGGCCACCAGTGGGTACTTCTTGTAAATGCTGCAGTCCACCTGCGACAGACACAAGAGAATGTCCTGCTTTTCTCCCAGCTCTCAAGCTAGGCTACCCTGCCTCTATTGCACAAGAAGTCAGATACCATCCTGGAGGTCCCACTCTGATATTCTGATGCTGCTGTGACTACTTCTATTGATAATATGACCACTGTGACAAATACTGGTACTTCCAGCACCACTTCTATTATTGCTAGCACACCCCATTAACAGTTCCTGGGCATTTTTTTTGCTAGGCATTAAACTTAAATCTTACATGAATTTTCTTTGTTTAATCTTCAGAGCGACTTAATAGGGAAGATTCTACTATTATACCTATTTACAAATGAGAGAAATTTGGGCTTAAGAAGAGAGAACTTGTATTACATAAAAGTTAGTAAGTGGTAGGGTGGAAGTTTGAATCCAGAGCCTATGCAGTTAACCAGGGTAACTCTCTCCTGCCTCTCACATGTTGCCCCTTCCTTGAAGATTCTACCAACCTCCCAGCTGGAAGTCTTCTCTATCTTTTTTAACTCTGGAATATTTTTTTAGGCTATGGTTATTTACATATATGTATGTCATATTTCTTCAACCGCCTTCTGAAAAGCAGAGGCAGTTTCTTTATCTGTGTCTGCCTTCCCTTTTAGCCCCCTCCCAAACATGCGGAGTTAACCTTACATATGTATTTCATAAGTATTTGTCAGCTAAAGGACAGTCAATAGGAACTGAAATGAAAGGGTAGTTCCGTGTACTCACCTTTGCTAAAGACTGACCAGCAGCTTCTGAAAGAGAGATACAGATGGAAATGTTAAAAAAAATTAAGCAAAGTGGTGAGATCTCAGTATTTAATGTAAATTTGGTCCTATTAATGAAGACGTCACTTCTGGTGATGAGTTTCAGCACCTATCCCATCCTTTCACAAAATCCAGCTCTTTGCTGAGGAAGCAAATGGCTAACCAAGTCCTTGATTCAAGTAACAGAATTATCCAAATTTCCTCCCTTTATTGACCATAGGATGTTTTCTGGAGCTCATTGTGTCTCTGATAATGTTCTAAGTCAGATGGCAATAGGAGCCACTTCTAAGAGCCTGAAGCACCATCTTTGATATTCTCCCCCTGCCAATTGATATAAAGGAGTGTAATGGAATATCATTAAGGTGTAGAATCTTATTTAAGTAAATTTTTTTACCATATAAAAGTTTAATTATTGACTCCTGGGCTTTGGAGAACTGTGTTTTATTTCGATCTTCCTGGATTGATTTGGAGAGACATTTGAGTTTTCCTGCATCTTTGCGCTGAGGAATAGTATCTGACGTTACCAACAATTTCCAGTGTCCTTATGAAATGTAGGCTTTTAAAAAAAAATTAGTTGGTTTTTTTTTTTTTTGGTTCCATGAATGGGAATAAAAATCCTTGAGAGGGAATGCACTAGATCCAAATTCCCCCAACTCCAAGTGGGACCTAAGAGTTCCCCTTTCCAGGCCAGGGTTGTTTCTGTTACAAACCAGTACATTTTAAATCCACAGGACAAGATATTTCTCTCAAATGCTTATATCCTGTGAGGGGTTATTTGAGAAAACAAGCTTAATGGCTGTTTAGGGCACTATCTACCGTTAACTCACCTGAGCAACTGCAGATATGAATCACTGTACAGAGCAGAAGGAGGACCCCAGTGATCTTCATGATGGAAATGGCTGTGATGCAGAGGCTGTCTGGGCTGTACAACTACACCTGCCATGCCCTAGGAAAGGGTCATGTTTATAAGGTGATGCTTTGTTTCTCCGCCTCTCCTGTGAGGTCATCCAAAGTCAGTCTTGGCTTTGAGAGGCTCTCAAAGCACAATGTCACACCCTGGGTGGTGTTACAGTCCTTGTCACTTAATTGCTACTTCCTGTTTGCCCAACAAATTGATTATTCAAGATGAGAAGTATTTTTCTGCATGCTCTAGAGGTAGGAATTGTTACTTAGAATTCTAAACCTCATATAGTAGAAGAGATTTAAGTATAGGCAGCTTGGCTCATTTATGAAATAAGTGAAAATACCAAACTTTATTTCACCAAAATAGAAGATTTTAAACCCAGATGAGACAGATTATACTTATGTTTATATTTTAGTTCCTAGGAAAAAGTTTTATTTTTGAGACTGTAAACCTATGAAACAAGTAGGGACGTAGTCGAAGGAACAGTGACCTTAGCATTTATGAGGCTTGGAGAAAGCCATTGACGTTTTCTACCGTTGTGATCTTGAGTAAGTCAGTTATGTGTATCAGCCAGGAAGGCCTGGTTATGTTGTAACATAACCCCAAGATTTCAGTGACTTAAAACAATACAAGTTTACTTTTACTCAAGCTGTATACACAGGGTGGTCAGCTGATGGTGCTGCATTGCCTTCAATGGATTCCAAGTAGACAGGGTAGTCACTGTTTGGAATATTGTTGATTGTCAAGGTGAAGTGAAGATGCTTTCTTACAGATTTCCATTTACAGTTGGATATTCCAGCTCAAAAGTGACACGAGTATCTCTTTCCCCTCACTATCATGTGGCCTGGAGGTTCTGGAGTGCAGTCTTACCTTGTCTCTTGAAGACCAGAAAGGGGAGAACCAGAAGTAGTTAGTAGATGACACAGAGACCACCCTGGACCCTTACTTTCATCCCCTGTCCAGTGGGACCTATTGCTAACCACACCGGAGTTCACATAAAGTGCAGTGCATGTAATTGTTACTGTGATTATTATTATTGACAGGCAATAGTCTCTGCTATGAATTACTGACTTGAGATTGTAAACTGTATTGTCCAAGCACAGTTATCCAAATGGCCATTGTTTGTCTGTTGGGCTGGAGGACATATGTATGAAAAGCTGGGAGAAGGCAGTAGACTCTGCTCCACCAGTGCTTTGCTTGGCAGGTTTATTGTAGTACATTCTGAAGCACAGCCATTGAGTCCCATGGATCTTATTTGGAACTTTGTTTCTAATAAACGTTGACCTTTGACTTTGAATATGTAGGCTAAGTTCTGGATATTTAGTTTCCTCATCTGTACATGGAAATAATATTTACCTCATAGAGTGGTTTTGAGTGTGAAATGCAAGTATATATATGTGTGTGTGTGTGTGCTTGTATATATGTATGTATACACACACACACACACCAGAGACTATATATATGCGTGTGTGTGTGTATATATATATATATACACACATATAATGTATATAGTGTGTGTGTGTATAGTCTCTGGTGTCTATGTGTGTGTTTGTGTATCAGTGCTAAGGTCATAATTAGAGCTCAGTATAGGGTAACTAATAATATGGAATGTGATCTTTATGACAACTCATCGAGGGAGGAATTTTTATTACCCTAATTTTATCAGTGAGTAAGATGAGACTCGGGATTTAAGTAATCTTACCAAGATTATGATACTAATTAATGTAGGAAACTGTTGAGTTAAGTCATGGAAAAAAAGGGCAGTGAATGTCCTAATAAAGAGTTAATTATAAGTTTTATTGTTTGCTATGAACGTTTGGAGATAATGAATACTGAGAAAAAGCCATTATGTTTCAAGCAGAAATTTGCTGGAATTTGAAATGCAGTTGTAGCTAAAAGGATTGGAAATGGAATCAAAGGGTAATCAGGATGAAGCGAAAAGGTAGGTTTTGTTTGTTTGGGTTTTGGTTTTGTTTTGTTTGTTGTTGTTGTTTTAAAATGTTTGATAGTCAAGTTGGGGAATGGAAGAAGCAAGGCTTCAGCAAGGTCTAGGATGGACTGAGCATATTTTTTTTTGTATAAGACTGTTATTAAGACAGGAGGGAAGGGGGTAGGGCACAACCACTCAAGGAATGACAGCAATTTAACACCAAAATGGTGGAAGATTCACCAAAATGGTGGAAGGTTCACCTCCTAGTTGGCCTTAAGGATTAAGAGGTTTAACTTCTAGCAGACCTTGAGCTTCATTATGTGCTCATTGTAACAATGTGATCAAATAACATGCACACAGGCGCCATGACAGCCCCAAGGTTAACCGCAAAAGGCCAAAGAATGGGCGGTGGCCCAACTCCTGGTAGTCCCAGCCCCTTCCCCAGGGCAGTTGGATTGATCCCACCTGTAGGCGTGTGAAGCTGCTGAAACCATAAAAAGTGACACCACCACACCTAGTGGCCCCTTTGCGCTCTCTCTCCTTTGAAGATGGCCCGCACTCTGTCTATGGAGTGTGTACCTACTTTTACTTTTAACCTGAGCACCCAATTCCCGTATCTCTTCCCTTGCTTTTCTCTTGCCTTACACTCTATGTATGCAGTATGTATCACTCTAAATAAATCTACCTTTACTCAATGGTGGCTCACACTTGAATTCTTTACTGCGCGAAGCCAAGGACCCACACTTGGTGGGGCATGTCCCAGGGGCTCAACCAAGACCTGGGACTTGGCTCTCCTCACACCCCACATCTGTTTTCCTGCATCATTATTATATTTCATTTATTTTTTTAACATTTTTTATTGTTATAATCATTTTACAATGTTGTGTCAAATTCCAGTGTATCATTTTACAATGTTGTGTCAAATTCCAGTGTAGAGCATAATTTTTAAGTTATACATGAACATATATTCGTTGTCACATTGTTTTTCGCTGTGAGCTACCACAAGATCTTGTATATATTTCCCTGTGCTATACAGTATAATCTTGTTTATCTATTCTACTGGACTGAGCATATTTTAAAGCCAAAGGGAAGAAGAAGAAATTTAAGATACATGATGGTGGGTGTCTAGTTAGAGTATAGAAAAGTTAGAAATAAGATGAAGAGCACAGGTGAATCACCATTCCCTCTTACATGGAAGACAGAGAAGAGTGGATGAGTGTAGAGTCAGATACTGTGAAAAGGAGAGAAAGAAAGATAAAGGGGAACCCATCATAAGGTTGGCTCTGACTGGTGAGTTCTGGGGTTGCCTTTTGCAGTGGAAGAATCAAATTGGTTTGGAAGCTGGAGAAGAATGAAGAAGACCTGGCACTGACCTTGATGGGAGCAAGTCAGATAATCAACAAAAGATATAAAAATTAGTGGCCACTAGACAGACTTAGTACTAGTTTTCAGTAGGCCCAGTCAGTACCATGCTTAATATTTCTCCCCAAATATTCTGGGAGTGAGAAATGGGAAAAAAAAGATGCTTTTATGGATAGAAAGTATGTTCATCAGAGACTTGAGGGGGCTGTAAAGACTATTAGGCTTGCAAGGGAGTCAAGTGTCTCACAAGGTTCGGATAAACTATGCATGATGCCAGCAGTGTAGGTTTAGAGGTCAAAGTTCAGGTAAATTGTGGACCTAGTTGGGTGGGGGATATAAACAGTTGTCAGTGGAGGCTGTGGCTAATAGGCAAAGTGCCAGATTTAGTTTCTCAGGGGTGGGGCTGAGATAATGATCCTCAAGGTGTATCCAAAGATAGAATAGATAAAGAATGGGTGGAGAAGGTCTTTAGATTCAAAAAATGTCTCCTGACCTCTTTGGTCAAGGTCAGAGGATCAGATGTCTGGTTGCTTTGAGTTTCGGTAGCTGTTTTTATGGAGACAAAATTTTCAGGCTGCACAGTGAGCCACAAATTTGTGGAGGGTCCATTGAGGGTGAAAGATGAAGACTGTGAAGATAGAAAAGCAGTCCATTTCAGACTAAGGGCAGTATGTATATTCCTCCTCCTATTCCTGCAAGGGGTCAGGGTGGGAACTTGAGGCCTTCTCACAGAGGATCCCTGGGCCCATGGTTCAATTCTAGGGAAGGCAGGATAGAATTAATGCAGGCAAACATAAAAATTAGAGAAAAGTGTGCATGATCTCATTTAAGACAGTCTTATGAGACAGGTGCAGTTATTTGCCCTGTTACTCAGCTGAGGCTAGAGGGGCTTAGAGAAGTGGTAGGTTTAAGGTTAAGAACCGATGCTTTTTTTCTTTAATGGAGATACTGGGGATTGAACCCAGAACCTTGTGCATGCTAAGCATGTGCTCTACCACTGAGCCATATGCACCCAAGAGCCCATTCTTTTTGATCACTCTTGTGTATTGCCTTTAAATCTAAATCTAAGAGGTAAACTTGGAGACGGCATTGGAAATTGGAGTTACAGAAGTAAACAGCCGTCAAATCAGAGCAGTCAGGAGGGATAGCTGATGTTTTGAGTAGGCAGAGGGGTGAGCACTAGGTCAGAGTGCACAGCATTTTCATGTGGAGAGGGGAGGCATCTGGAAAGGAGGTTCCCAGTGGGAAAGGGGAAGATTGAGAATCAGGAGGCAAGGGCTCCTTCCCTGTGCCCATAGTCTCATCTGTCAAAGGTGCAGTGCTGTGACCGTCCTTCTCCACCCGGTGCTTGCTTCTTTCGCCACAGATACTGAGGCTAACCTAGATTGGTGCTTCAGGTTTTCAAGTTGAAAAACCCCTCCTCGGAACCTTAATATGTAAAAGTGATAAGTAAGGTTGAGGATTGTGTGCGAAGAAGTTGGAACCCTCTTTGAGCCAGGGAATCAGATAGTGTAGAGGGAACAGCAGGTGTATTGGCCGCAGGCAACGTCCCCTGCTGAGGGAGTCCATTTTCTCGAGTTCCAGTGTTATATACAGTAGCTGGTTTTTCTTTAAAACATTCAACTTGTAAATCGGATAGGCTGTAGCATGTTTTCCATGGTTAGGCTAAATGTTTTTATAGTGAATTCTATGTGAGATTGGACTGAAAAATTCTTTCATCTATTTTTTTATTTAAATTGCCTTTTTTCCCCATTTTTCTTATTTTCTATTATAAGCTTTTATTATGCTGATTTCAGTTGGAGTCTGTGTCTAGGAGTTATGGTTGCCAGTATTCATTTAGCATCTAGCATCTATTTATTGAGCTCTGTTATATGCCTTACTTGTTATTATATATATATTGTTTTAATTCATTTTCATTACAGCATTCCTTACAATCTGGCATTACCTGTTCCTTTATTTGTATATTATTCATCTCTCACCACTAGAATGCAGGTTCCACCAGAACAGAATCTTGCCTGTCTTGTTTGACCTTAGCAGAGTGCACTGGGCAGAGTAGGAACTACTTATTAAATAATTACTAAATGAATGAATAGCCCTAAGACTCCACATTATTAGTCAAAAGGTAGAGTAACACAGAATTCACCCAGCACTTAGGAGAAGTAGTCTTTAACATCAGTGAATTTAAAAAGAAATGAAGGCTACTTCACTGGAACTTAAGATAATTCAACCTTTTTTTTTAATAAACTGAAGTACAATCATTTACAGTGTGTCAGTTTCTCATGTACAGCACAATGTCCCAGCCACACATATACGTATTTTTTCATTAAAGGTTGTTACAAGATATTGAATATAGTTACCTGTGCTGTACAGAAGAAACTTGTTCTTTAAAATATTTAAAATGGCTAACATTTGAAAATCTCAAACTCCCAAAGTTATCCCTTCCCACACCCTTTCCCCCAGTAACCATAAGATTGTTTACTATGTCTGAGAGTCTTTCTGTTTTGTAGATTAATTCATTAGTGTCCTGTGTTTTTTTTAGATTCAACATATGAGTGATATTATATGGTATTTTTCTTTCTCTTTCTGGCTTACTTCACTTAGAATGACGATCTCTAGGTTCATCCATGTTGCTGCAAATGGCATTATTTTATTCTTTTTTATGGCTGAGTAGTATTCCGTTATATAAATATACCACAGCTTCTTTATCCAGTCATCTGCTGATGGACATTTAGGTTGTTTCCATGTTTCAGCTATTGTATATAGTGCTGCTATGTACGTTAGGTGTATGTAGCTTTTTGAATTAGAGTTCCCTCCGGATATATGCCCAGGACTGGGATTGCTGGATCATATAGTAAGTCTATTTTTAATTTTTTGAGGAATCTCAATACTGTTTTCCATAGTGGCTGCACCAGTTTACATTCCTACCAACAGTGTAGGAGGGTTCCCTTTTCTCTACACCATCTCCACTGTTTATTGATTGTGGACTTTTGAATGATGACCATTCTGACTGGTGTAGGGTGATACCTCACTTGCAGTTTTGATTTGCATTTTTCTGATAATTAGTGATACTGAGCATTTTTTCATGTGCCTGTTGGCCATTTGTCTTCATTGGAGAATTGCTTGTTTAGGTCTTCTGCCCATTTTTGGATTTGGATTGTTCGTTTTTTTGTTATTAAGTTGTGTGAGATGTTTA